CTCTTTCTGGAGACAGAGAGAATAACATGGGAAAGGGAGGTGCAGTCAAGAGAAACTTAATGGGCTTAAGACAAGGGTTCTGAGCACCTGAAGTCTCTTATAAGTAATCAAAATTGGCTCTGGGAGAAATTCAGTCACATGGACAGAAAAATAGGTGAGATTTTAAACATGAGTTAAAGTTAAATGACACCAAATTGAGCTGGGAATAACAGGGCTAATAGGATGCCAAGTGGTTTGGCACTAGCACTAGTCTTATTTAATGCCACTAATGTGCTGGAAGAGAGGTTAAATTACACTCGTGGATACCACTAAAGCAGGAGGAGTCTCTCTCTAGCACGAATAATTACCAAAAGCAGACCTTAAGAAATTAAAAATATCGGCAGGAAAAAGTACGAATCGATTTAGAAATGGCCAAATTAAGACTCACAGAAAAATAAGGAGGTACTCAGCTTCCCCAGGAGGGAAACAGGTCCAACGAGGCCAGCACGGCCCGTTGGAAGGACAAGAGACAGATTTGGGATCAAGGCAAGGGAACAGCGGGTGCCAAGTGCTGTCGGAAAACATGTTCTTTTCCCCAAACACCCTGCAATACAAATACGAGGAACAAAGCAGATACAGACTGGAAATGAAAGCCTACAAGGAGAGAAGCTTGTCTCTTGGGGCAGGCAGTGGTTTTGGCACTGCTGAGGTTTCTGGTAGCCTCCCAGAAGAGGGGCAATTTAAGCAACATCTGTCCCCACAAAGGTGGCATCGTTTGAAGGACCACTCCGCACTGCCTCCAGTGGAAAGGTTGGATCTTGCATACCACAACCACTCACCTCCTCACGGAATTTCTCACTGTACAGCTTATTCCCCAGGCTCCGAGGCAGCCAGGAGGCTCTTTTTTATCTTCTCTTTTTCAGTATCTTTTTTGTCTATGTGCAGACCTCAAAATACAAGCCAGTTTTCAAGAGGCAGCTTCATGACTGCCACTGATGATGTAAAATCATTCACCTCTTCCTATTTACAGTCTCTTTTTCTCGCCTTTGCCTGTATATGGATATAGATGGATTGTGGTAGCCTCTTTTTACCCCAGCCTTTGTGCTGGGAACTCAATATTGAGTTGTTTGTTCAAAGAAAGCTATCTGAGATCTGCTATTTCAGATGTAAAGGTCAAGGAGAGCAAAAAAAAAATGTGGCTTAAAAAAGATCCTTACAAAATACATCGCCAGAAAAAATGAACGAGGAAGAAATCGGGACGAGCAGAGCCACGAACGCCAGCAGAACAAGCTCAGCTCCTGTGTGGCATCGCTGCGGCCATCACGAAGGAGGCGGGAAGGACAGCAGCCAAAAGCAAAGGAGACTGGCTCACGTTCCTCCTTTGCAGTCTTCTGTTAACCTGCACTTTTCAGTCTGAGAACTTACACCGAGGCAGCATATTTTAAAACATGCCCGAAGAACACATTGTCAGAAGTTTCATAAATGAATAAACATAAAGAAGGCCAAGGCCAAGAGTATGAATATTTAATTATTGACTGACTGCAGCGATCCAGCCTGTTTTCTGCCAGCACCTGCAGAGCGCTCTGCCTCGTGGCCATGAAGCCGGGGGGAGCAGAGCAGCAGCACCCAAACCGGCATCAGCAGGGCTAGATCTCCTCCGGGACCCACTTCTCCGGACCACGGGCCCTGCTTCTGTAGCAGACAAAAGCCAGCTTAGCTTTCAGGCCTGAGAGAAACTTCCTTGGTTTTGACTGGCTTTCAATACTACGTTGTTTGCCCTTTAATCAAAATTTAAGGGAAATGTAAAACATGTTATTAAAGCATCCACAAATTCTGATTTGGTGCCGTAGACGCAAGAAGGTTTTCCCTAAAATGAAGTCTGGCAGAATCAAGCTAAACAATTCTGGTAACAAATTCAGTGAAAGCAGCAAAACCCACAGCAGCATTCACCGCCTGGGAAGTCAGCCGGAACCTTCCCATCGACCCAGCAAGGTTGGGTTGAGCCCACATTGAACAAATCCACATTTCTTCTATTTTAGAGAGCAACGAATTATCTGAAAACCACATTCACCCATCAGTTCTTCCCCCCTCATGGCACCACATCCCTTCCACCACCACCTGGAGCGGCACAGGGAGCGCGTGGATGCAGTCTAGACCCGACCGTGTCCAACAGCAGAACATAAAAGGCCTTTCTTTATCTCCAAACCTCCAAGCAGTTCTAAATTTACAGCCTGCAGCAAACACAAATCAGGGCGGGAAGCATCTGTGCGTATTTGAAATCACACAAAGCCTGACATTCAGAAAAGCATCGGCCTGCTGGCATGCACAGATCAGTTACTACAAAACAGGACAGCAAGGAGAGAGATATAAAGAATCAATAAGCAGAGGCTCTGGTGTGCAAACAACTGCCACGGTGCGGGGACCTTGCTTGGCAGGGATGGAGGGGAGCAGCACACACCGCTCCCTGTGCTTCAACTACAGCATGTGATTATTTTCTTGCCTTCCTAGCAGGCATGAAATGAGAGGTGGAGGGATAAAGCCGTGTGTTATGCTGCTGTGACTTTTCCCGCGTGTGCGAGTTTGCAGCACGACGTTAGCTGTGCTGAGCTCACCGGCAGGCAGACCGAACCAAGAAAAGCAGCAATTTCCCCCGTGCAGCAAAGAGAGGGGTTTGGAGCAGTATGGAAGCACTAAACATGAAAAAACCAGAAGAACCTTAGGAAAACAATGCAACTTCTTTTTCTTTTCCTGCCTGTCATCTTTCAGGCTTCTAGCGTGTACGAGATGGAGCCTGACACCCCGGCACAGGGTCAGCAGGTGCTGGGGACAAACAGGCTTGCTTCAGATGGTGGCTCCAAAGTCACCCACGTGACGCCCGGGGCACCTCGAGCCAGTCCCTCTCTTTCCAGCTCTATTAGGCAGAAACAAATTGTCCTGTGCCTCTTATCACCTCTGTCTTGAAACCCTGGCGTCCCAGAGCACTGTCCCTGCTGCCTCTCACCATGACCTTGCGCTAACGAACAAGCACGCGTTGACGTCCCTGGGTCCGGTGTGCAGGCAGAGCGGCTGCGAGGAGTAACATACCCAGAGGAGTAACGTGTGGTCTGGGTGAGAAGGATGGTCTGCAGGCAGTTCCCAGCAGCGGCTCTCACTTCTGGCTGCCCTGAGCACCACTCAGCCACCTCCCTAGGATGCTCCCACAGTTCCTCGTCCCTGGTGCCCAAGTGACCCTCTCATATGGCAGGGTCCAAAACCCCGTTTCCCTGCTAAGGACCTGCTAAGGAGAGATTAAGGCTTGGATTGATCCAAACCTCCAAGTCCAGCATTTTCATTCTGTGTCAAAAAGAGTCAGCAGAGAGAAACAGGAGCCTGCAGTGGACAATTAAGTTCAGAAGTGGTTGCATTACCCCCGCAAATGTCTCCTTGTCCGTAAAGGGAACCCTGGTGACCTCCGTGCCCAGTTAGATGCAACATTTTGTGCCACAGCAACTTGAGGGACAGGATCATATCTGTCCCAGCCCAAATCGCAGCCCTCTCCACCAGATTGTCCGTCCACTTCAGCCTACCAGCCTTTACAGATTTAAGTGACTTTACAGGGCCACTGGAGCAAAGCTGAAGGCTTAGCCCTAAAATCTCTGGGGTTGATCAAGAGAGAAACATATTACTTCACAATACAGACTGGGGATCAGAGCAGATTACCCCTCGATCCTCAGCAGTTCAGCACCATTTCAGGGGATTGAGAGAACGTTAGAGAGTTTAACATCCATCAATTCTTGACTGACACAAGGAGCAGGGAAAGAACTGTCTCCCAGAGCCCATGGGATTGCACTGGAGGAAGCAAAAAAGGCACAATGTGATTGCAGGGAGTTGGGTCATTTAGAGAGAAAAAAAAACACCAAAAAAGAAACCCTGGGTGATGAAGTAAAATGCTACAGCCTGTGAAGTTTGAGTCTCAAACATGCCCCATCCATCAGCAGCACAGAGATGCTGCACCCAAAGTCCAATAGCTCCCTTTTCAACTTATTTTACTGGTGAGTGTCCTAGAACATATACAGTTTTAACCCTAAATGCCCCTTCCAGGAACAGCCGAGGTCCCAGGATGTCCCATCGTGTTCTGAGACCTGGTACCGTGGGAAGGATGGAGGAGCTTGGAGGTGATGTGTGTGCACGTGTACATGGTGGGATCAAAGAGATGTAGGATCTCTCTTTACAAGGGGTCCGCAGCAAAACTGTAGGACTCTGGATCAGTCCAGCCTCAGAAGGGCCCAGCCAACCCACAGAGCATCCTTTAGGAACCCGTTGGACTATGGAGGGAGCCTGACGTAGCTGGAGGTCACACCAAGTTGGGCTGCTGACAGATCAGCTCTGCTCTAGCCCCGAGGGCAATCCTGCTGTTTCTTCTTGTTAAGACACGATCCTTGCGAATGCCAGCGCTGCAGAGGAAACCAGCACGCGCCTGCTCCCCCTGCAGCGAGCCTGGCCGCCTCTCAGCGTGGCAGCTAAACACATTCCCTGCAGGCAGGCTAGGAGCACCTTCTGCAAAACACTAGCTCCAAACATAATGGGTTTGGATGCGAGATGCAGGGAGAGGGCACAAAACCAGGAGCTTTAATGGAAAACTCTTCCCTGCCAGCTCAGGGAGGCAAGAGTGACTTTCTTCACCTGCCAGGTCTGGGCTGCACTCTCAGATACCTACACCAAAGCCATCCCCAGGCTATCTCCAGGGGTCGAAATCAGGTGTGAGGGTGTGCTAAGGCAGAAGGCAAGTACAGCCTACTCAGAAGGCGTAAGGCTGCATTTCTCTCTGCGCAACAATCTTGCTCCCTCTAGGCTTAGTACCCAAAATGTCTCAAGAACCTGCCCTGAAAAGCCACCCCCCAAAATGCAATGCTCACCCCTCCATTGAGAGCCCTGCTCGGCCGGGGGCAGAGGGGCAGGAACAGCAGCAGTTACGTGCCGACACGGCCCTGCAGCCACAGCACGTGAAGCTCTGCCCCAGCCCGCTCTGGGGTCGTTCTTACCTTTAAGCCAGTGCTCTCTGCTTCAGAGCCTTTATCCACACCGGTGATGTAGATGCCCAGGGAATACTCTGCCCCTCCTCGGATCATGAGGCCCAGGGACTTCCCCTCATTCAGGACCAGATTCACCTGCGGAGGAGGAGGAACATTGATGTGGTGTCTGAGCACTGCACAAAAGCAGGCGCAGCTCCATGCTTCTGGCAACAGCCACGTCCCCCCTGCTGCCTCCAGCTCTCCCACCAGTTCCCTAGTGAGCAGTGCACACCCCGGGACAGAGCCACTTCTGCAGATGCCCCCAGCCAACCGCAGCCCCAGACGGAGCTCCAGACCAGCGCTGTCACCTCCCTGCTGCAGCTGGCTCCTGCAGCAATGCAGAGGAGTGGGCAGAGCAGGTCTAGCTGCTCCTGTGGCTCCCTAGGCTTGTCCGTCTCCCCGTGCCTGGACAAACGGTCAGGGCTGGCTGAGGCTCAGAAGATGCTTTAGAGGTGCATGGCCTGCAAGGTGGGCAATGCCCCGTGCATCCCCGGAGAGCAGCACGGCCGACCACAGACACGGCAAGGACAGACAGGGTGATTCTACCAAGGGGGACATCTGCCAGTGAAGTGTGGAGAACATGCAACATCCGTGACTTGGGTTTGGTTTGTCTTTTCCTGTTTTTCAATAATTTAGAGGGTCAAGCGGAGTGAGAGGGCAGATCGTGTTGAGAAGGTGCAGAAGTCTGGCTCTT